CTCCTTTTAGAATTCTTTCTCCCACACCTTAGAATAAGAATGAGATTCAAGGAGATTGATCAATTAGTCATTGAGAGATTCAACAATTCGAGATTCTTCCTATCTTCTTTCTACAATTTAATTTCGGGTGATGTTGTCTCAATTTAATTTGTGTTTTTGTAAAAAAAAAAATTATGCTTGACTAATTGTATGATCATAGGATAATGTTGAACCCTACGTTTTAAGGGTTTGATACTTATTTTCAAATTTTGACATTAAATACGTATATGATTTTGAATGATTATGATGAGTTCAATGCATTTTCAATTAATTAATCACTAATAATTTGTCTTGTGATTTTTACTATCATTCTAGAAAAAGAATAAGAATTATAGCATGTAATAACAATCATTGTAAAATTGGATAAATGATAGAAATATATACTTTGCGCTATTCCTTTTTAAATGTTCTTGTGATATAATGTATCTTCTATAAAGATATAATACAATCATATGGGAGAATATATTTAATCATAATTAAGAGAGATTATTAAACAAATTAGAAATATTGATAGACAAATCCAAATAAGTATTGTTAAAGTCTTGATATGGTATTAAGATGGTCAAATATAGGAGGGTTCTAAGTCCTAGTCAAGGGAGGAGGAAAGGGGGAGAGGTAGCAGAGACCTCCCCAGGCCCAATTAATTTTATAAGGCAAAATTTGTTTTATTGAAAATTATTTTTTCCTAGTGATTTTTTATTTCAATGTATCAATCTACTATAAATATTTTCGTCCCGTCGTTAATTGAGTTTCATATTCGCTTTCTAACTCATTAGTTAGATTAACTAGATTAATTATATGTTTTAATTTTCAGTATAATTCATCTATCAAATCTTGCAATTCGATTAAAGTTGAATTTAATTGGAACTGGATTAAATACTTAGTTATCGTAAGATCGATACATAAACTCATGTTCACTTTATTATTTGTTTACGATAATGTCCATTTGTTGGAGTGCAATATTAGGACGGGATGCGTCTTTGCTAGATGGTGCTTCAGTAGCTGAGACATTTTATGCTTTGGATGAGCTTAATTGGCCTTAATGTAAATACCGGTGGACATGCAATATGCCCCTTTTGAGCGAGCGTGAAATCCTTGTAAGCAAGTAATATAACCTTTTGAAATTGATATGAAGCCGTTTTGAGCAATAATTATTTCAACATGTAACAATAATACTATCTTTATTTCTTATCGAGATGTCATAAATACATGCTTATCTAAATTATTTGAATCCTAAAATTTGAACTTTTCCACTTGGAAAAGATATACTTTTGACATTGATTATTTTAAGAAGTAAATAAGTCCATAATATTCAATAAGACTTGATAGTAAAATTTTATCTTACTTTTTTTTAATACTATTCAATACTATCTTTATTTCTTGGTGAAATGTTATAAATGCAAGCTTATCTAGATTATTTTGAATCCTAAAATTTGAACTTTCCCACTTGAAAAAGATATAGTACTTTTTGACATTAATTATTTAGTCCCCGTTTGGTCCACATTATTTTTTTTATTCTCATTCTTCTACTCATTTTCAACCACACATTCTTCATTAAAATAATATTTTCTATCACGTCAATAATTTTTCCTTCTTTTTCAACCACATATTTCCATCACATCATAAAAAAAATGCATTCTTGGTTTNAATATTTTCTATCACGTCAATAATTTTTCCTTCTTTTTCAACCACATATATCCATCACATCATAAAAAAAATGCATTCTTGTTTTCATATTGTGCACCAAACAGGTCCTTAAGAAGCAAAAGTACATAATATTCAATAACACTACTATCTTTATTTACTAGTGAAATGTTATAAATGCATTCAATAAGACTTGAAAATATATTGAATAAGATTTAACTTCTTTTTTCTTTAATGCTATTTAATACCATCTTAACTTTCTAAAAAATGTTATAAATGCATGCTTATCTAAATTATTTTGAATCCCAATAAATTTAAAAT